CCCACCGGCCCGCGTGGCAGCCACGTAGGCGCCACGTCGGCGCCAGCTCGGCCAAGACCGGGTCAAGCCGACCCCGGTCCGCCGCTCCCCTCTGCCCCGCTCGCGCGCGCTGTCCATCGCGAACCGTGAGGCTGCGCGTGGGCCCGCCGTATCCGCACCCACCGCGAGCCGCGCGCGTGCACCGCGCCCCGCTCCAAACCCTAGTGCCGCGTCGCGTGCTCCTCGCTCACGGTGAGCCGAGCCACCGACAAGCGGGTCCCGCTCGGGACCACGCGAGATGGACCCGGCCCACCGGCTCCCTCTCTCCTCCCCTCCCGCGCGTGCCTTGGGCCGCCTTCTCGGGCCGGCCGGCCCATTAAGCTCAGTCGAGCCGCCCCTTTCTCTCGGGCCGTGCCCTAGCCGCCCGAGGGAAGTCTGTTTCCCCTCCCTCTTTCTTTTCTTTTTCAAAAGGGTTTAATTAAATCCTTTTTCCTTTAGACCAAAAATCCAATAATCTTAGAAATTCAATATCTTCTCAACCGTATGTCCGTTTGACTCCATTCAACTTCCAAAATTCCTCAAATCTCGAGATCTATTTAATGGCACGTTTAGATGTCAATAATAGGGCTTTATTTTCGCCGTTTGTTGAGTTGTCCCGCTTCGCGTGTAGTTTCGGAGCCCGAAGACCCGCAGTGCGAGGATTTCGAGGATCAAGCTCAAGATCTCGAGCAAGGCAAGTCACCTTTGATCATCTTGCACCTATAATTTAAATCTAAGTATTTCTTTTCTGCAAATATTGCATGAATAAGTTTAACACAAGTATTTCGGCCGCGGCTTGCGAGATAGCCTGCCGGCCCACAATCTTAATTGCTGCAATTACCCTCCTTGAATTATTGAACACTTAAACCACCTTCGTCAACTGTTGTGCTTCGATGCACGGGCCTACAGGCACGCGCATTGGGACACCTCCCCTCAAATTTAGAACATCCAACGATGGGTAAAACTTGGGGTTTTACAAAAGACTTGGAAAACCCGACACTTGGGTCGGTGCTTGCGAACTAAAATGAATTTCCAAAATCGCGGACCGGGGGACGTACCGGGAGTACGGTTTCCCGCCTTGCACTTAAGGACCGTTTCCTTAGAATTTCATCCGAACATAAGGCAAGTGCGACCACATGGGTGGAATGGGACACCCCTGGCTGAGTAACTAGCTAATCGGGAGAACCATGATGCCAAGAGACATGTGGATTCAACGGGGTGGTGCCGAGGAGAACCCGGGCTTCCTGGCACAGTATGGTCTGGGACTTAACCTGATGTAGGTCTGGGACCCCTCTCGTTGGCATATGGTGAACCTGTGTCGGCTTTTGAAATGCCTTGTCGTGAAAGCCCCAAGTCACCAGACGTGTCTGATCCACACGGGCTAGGTGACCAAGGCTAGTAACGTCGTGTGGGTAAAGTGTACCCCCTCTGCAGAGGTTAACAAACTGTTCGAACAGTCGTGCCCACGGTCATAGGCGGATGTGAGGTGATTCCTAGCGTAGTTTTGTTTGACTACTGCTTGTGAAATTACTGTTGTGGAATGGGTTCGATGTTTGGAAAATCTGCGGCTGATGGGATCAGCCAGGCCCGGGTGGCTGTTTGAAAGCCGTTGGCCGGGTGCCAACCTTGAATCAATTCAAAGATTGATAGATTGCACATACTCCGACCGGACGAGACGCATTGTCTCATCCGTGTCGTTTGAAAAGCACTCACTTAGTTGTTTCAAAAAGGAGTTTAAATAAAACCAATTGCATAAACAACAGCCTTTCCCTTGAAGCCTGCATTAAACACTTAATTCCCATGGTTTGCTGAGTACTCCTGTACTCACCCTTGGTCTATATAAATAATCCCCCTAGTTGCTGAAGAAGATGATGTGGATCCTGCTGATGAGGAGTTCTTCGAGGAGCAAGTCGGCTACGATGAGTTTTAGGGTTTCGGCCTAGTTCCCAAGTCGCGCCTGTGATGAATGGTCCAAGTCTTGGCTTCCGCTTTCCCTTTTGTAATGCAGTTGTGAGCTCGGGATCTGTCCGCAGCCCAATATGACTGTACTCCTACTCTGTAATAAAGAGACATCTGTTGCTGTGATATTCTGTCTTCCTGTGATACCAGCACTGTTTCCTGGGACTGGTATCGATTGATAGGTTAATTTGGAGCGTCACGGGCTAGTTCCGTTCGGGGCTAGTTCGGGGCGTGACAGATTAGCTATAAGGTTGGCTACAACTTTCTTCTTCTCTCTATGTCTCACCTATGCATTTAATGTATTTACCTAGGAGCTTGTGTTAAGCTAGCTCTTGCATGAGAGCCAACATCCTTGATTTTTTGTTATCTCTCTCCTCCACCTAAGTTTATAGTAGGCTTATAGCTCATATACTTGTTCTTAGAGAAAGTACAATAGGAGAATTAAGCCGGCTATAATATGTCCATCATGGCAAAAAAGCTGAGCTGGCGGAAGGAAACAAGAACAGAGAACTTAACAAGGCGACTATATTAGCGCCGGTTGCACGCAGCCTCCAAGACTAGGTGAATTTACTGCAATTGGCCATACCCTTGCTTGCGCATAGTGATTGGTTAGTAGCTGTTCAGGATAAATAGCGATTGGACAACAAACGGTCTGTGTATGCAGCTTTTGGCCTGCCCAAGGAAGAAAAAGCAAGCTACATCTATATGCTATATAGCCTACTAAATGACATGGCAAATTTTATAGCCAGCAACGGGCGGTATTAGAGCAAGGTTAATAGTATAGCCAACTACTAACTCCAATTCATCTATAGCCAATCTAATAGCCAATTCATACAATAATTGCTTACTATACCATTAGCATATTGTCCCACTGTCATACACACATTGCGTCTTGAAGCCTGTGCTACAGCTGACTACAAATCTGTAGCTCGCTGCTCTTCTCTCTTATTTTTTATCTTATTATAGAATATATTTGTAGCTGTCTAATAGTCTGCTATTGTACATGCTCTTATTGATCCTGCTCTTAGGAACTCAGCCAAGCTACGAAAGTTCCGAGCAAATTCGGCCTTCCAAGCTAGGAAACGCTTGCAGCGACCATATTGCCCGGAATAGGTTGTTGTAGAAGGGGGTGAGCGTCTCGCTCTCACACGGAGACACGGTCCTCACCAAGCTCGACACGTCTACCGATGCTTAGCACGATTCGGGCACAGCACAAACACAGCGATCGACTCCGCGAGTAATAATTGCACTGTTCCCCTAAATAAAGCCTGCCCGACCATCGCAACTACGCATCGGAAGCCGAAGAGGCGGGGGCTGATGAAGGAACGCGCCGGATCGCCTACGATCGACCTTCGTGCGGAATAGCAGCGAAATAACGGTGCATCTGGTCTCTCATGGATCATGTTCAAATAGATCGGTCAATTAAGATGGCGAGATTATTTTTTTCTCCAACATACTCTCTCCTTCCAAAAGTCTATATTATTTGGTTCTTTTAAAAGTCTAAGTGTGCTATTTATAATCACTGTGCCATATTAAATTTTTGATCGGAACAAAGAAGTAATTTAATTTTAGTACTTATTGGTTATATGTTTATTGGTTTTATCACATGATAAATGAATTCACTACATATTAGTTTTGGTGAAAAAGAAATAAGACTCAGACTTTTTGAAGGAGTGAGTAGTTCTAGTGTTAGTTTTATTCATTTAAAAAAGAAAGTTCATGCGTTTAAAGGATGTGAGTGACATCCCATGGCTACCGTTTGAAGTACTTACTATTTTTTTCTTGCATACTCCCTCCGTCCATAAAAATGTGATGACATCCCATGCCCATCATATTTTTTTTTTGTTGTTCCTTTTTACAATCTTCAATACTCCCGTCGTCATCAATATTATTTAGAGAAACATTGATCCGACGAAAAATACTAGAGTGACATTAAAATTTATGCTTGCTACTTGTGGAGCTATGGAGTTCTCACGAGACGACTTTACTTGGAACTCGGAAGGTGCATCTAGTGTGTCTGTGTACAATATTGTTTTCCTACTTTGATTCATCAACACACAAATTTCCTTATTCAACCTCCTATGATGATTATATCTATATGTAGTTGGACTATCGGGCAACGTTATGACTGTTGTGAATTGTGTAACTCATAAAGCGTGCTTTCTCTAAGGCAGTTGATAGCCGTAGCACAACTGCAACTATCATTTCCAAATAGCACTTATTACCAATTGCTGAGCGCCAAATTATTTAGTTGGTTCCGACTTTAGTATTACACAATGTGTATAACATTAGTTCGATCTTTGATCTCTCTTTGGTACTTCGTATCACTCAGCACTACTCATAGCATATGTTTTTTTCTCATCCATATTTTTAACCTAAGATAAGTGAGTAAAAGAAAAATAACCCCTTCACTAGAATTTCTTTAAAAGCTTCAAATTACTCGAAATTTCAAAGTTCATGACTGTACAACCAAAAAGATTCGAAGTTCGCTGCACTGTACAGCTGTACTGCAGCAGTAGCTGGTAAAAACCGTGAAAGCCTGAAAGGTGGAGGAGAAAACCAACCTCGCAAACACCGATACCCACATGCCAGTTCGCAACCCCCGGGATTCTTTGGCCCCACATGTCAGTCTCAGAATTGGCGGGTACGAAACAGTCGGGTACGCGTAGCCGCGTAGAGATCCCCCTCTCCGGTGTCAGAAAGAAAAGCAGAGGTGGGCCCATTCCCCTTCCCCGCGCGGGAAACCCCGGCACCGCCTCCGCGGAGCCATCATGCCCTTCCATTCCCAATCCGACGGCCGCAAATACCCCCCTCGCCCATACAACGGGTAACACCTACCGAATCCCCAGTTCCTCGTTGGGAGCGCGTCTGAGCCGTTCGAATCTCTGAGACGCGCGATTGGACGGTCAGATCGTGCCCTCGCTCGTGGACCCGGTGCAGCGAGGTTCCCAATCACGCTACCTCCACTCACAGAGCCAACGAGAGCTCGCCTACATAAACACGGCGACCCACCACCCCTTCGCCTTCCCCCTCCTCGGTGATCTCTCTCCCCTTCCCAAAAGAAGTCGAGAGGGTTTTCGTGGTGGTGGTGGTGGTAGGGTTAGGGGTAGGAGGGGTCTCCACATGGCGGCGGCGGCGGCGGTGGCGAAGTCGGTGGAGGCCGGCGGCGAACCGGGCGGTGGTGGTGGTGGTGCGTGGTCCACCGTCTCCCGCTCCGGCCGCTCCTCCTACTCCGCCGGTGGTGGCGTCGGCGGCGGGAAGGTGGGGGAGCTCGCGGAGGGGTTGGCGGGGGTGGAGATCGGCGGGGAACGGAGGCTGGACAAGTACGACATCCCCGTGGAGGTGAGCGGCGAGGACGTGCCCCCGCCCGCGGACGGGTTCGAGGCGGCCGGGCTGGTGGAGGCCGTGCTCCGGAACGTGGCGAGGTGCGGGTACGAGAGCCCCACGCCCGTGCAGCGCTACTCGATGCCGATCGCGCTCGCCGGCAGGGACCTGATGGCGTGCGCGCAGACGGGGTCCGGGAAGACGGCCGCGTTCTGCCTCCCCGTCGTGAGCGGCCTCGTCGCGGCGGGAGGGAGCGGAATCGGCCACCGGGAGAGGTCGTCGTTCAACCGCGCCGCCGCGAAGCCCCGCGCGCTCGTGCTAGCGCCCACGAGGGAGCTCGCCGCGCAGGTGACGAGCTCGATTTCCTCGCTCTCTTCATTTCGATTTTGCGCGATCCGACATTGCCCTGAGTGTTGTCTCAACAAGCCGCCGCTGCGAAGTTGGGGCGCGCGGTCGCGCCATGTGGGACGCGCGTCTGTCTCGTCCCTGTTCCGGTGCGCGCGTTCGCGTTCGTGTTCGCGTTTGAGTAGAATATGCATCACCATGTCGATGTTGGCACCTGTTCGCTCCTGTGTTGTCTTGTCTGTGGTTGCCGCTCGGTTTGTGTCGGCGTCGCGTCGCGTGAGATTATGCAGGCGCGGGGCGAGCGCATATGTCAGGCAAGTGGCTCTGTTTGGTTCATGTCTCGCCGTGGGCGTCCCGTGGAAGCTCAAGCTCTGGAACCATGCCCTTACGTGTAGCGGCCTGCGCGGGTGCGCCCAGCTCGGCGTTGCATGCTTTGCGAGTTGGCGCCCTCGTTTACAGGGTGTTTGGCCTCTATTCCTTATTGCTCAAACTGTATCGCGACCGATGTCCTGTAGACTATGTTGACTCTGTTGCTTATGACTTTCACTGTGCATGCTCGATTTGTTCAATTGCTTTTATTTCACAAATATGTTCTGAATCCTGATCTTCCTAATATTGTATTGTTAACACCGCATTACTATACTAATGTGCATTTTTTTCCTGATTGTAGAGTAGCAAGTTGTCTGTTAGGTCAAATTTAAGATCTCCAATTGCCAATTTCAGTATTCTTTGAGTGCGGTTACAGTCATTTGATAATGTGATTTTCATTGACACTGTTAACCAAAATTTCTCTTTGTTCTGCTATGAAGAACTTGATAATGTAAGTACCTTTTTAGTTTTGTTGGAATTTTAGGATGCATTTTGTGCTGGTAGCTAGTTTTGGAAATTATTTTCATTGTTTTGTGCATTGTGTTTTACCTTTTCTGATTTTGTGAGTTGGTGAGTTGGTAATATGCGGATGAGAAGTATATATGCGATGCATCTTGGTGGTACTTGGTAGAATCACTATCCATTTAATGCAAATATTTGAGTTTCCAATCCTGTAAACTAAGGGGCTGTTTGGGATGGGAGGAACTTATTTTAGTCTCTCTCACAAAAGCATAAGTCCCTATGGGAGGGACTAAAATTCTTGTGAGAGGGACTAAAATAAGTCCCTCCCATCCAAACACCACCTAAGTACTCATTCCTCGATCACTTTCTGGGCCTGTTTCATTGTGAATCAATTTGTGAGTGTAACAAATATTCTTTTGCACTTCTCTGATTTTCACATATGACTTCTGCTTGCACTATTTCAGCCAGATTCTGAGGGATTGCTGCTATTTGATTATGCTGATCATTTTTTCTTTATGGTTTCTACGTGCTGAATTTCTTTAGATTATGCACCTATTTATCTGAGCTAGTTCTGTTCCCTCAGTTGATCCTGTATGCATTTGTTGTTTCAGCTAGTGTTATTTGGTGCATTAGTATGCATATTTTAATGCATGGTACTGTGCATAGACACTAGAATAAGGAGCTATTCTGCAACAGCATTAGTTCATGTGTGGAATTTAATATGGCGTAGGATAACTACTTAAGTAATTTCATTGGTCACTCTTTTGGAAAATGTTACGTGAGCGCAATTTAACTCATTTTTGGCTTATTGCATGGATATGTCCTAAAAATGTGATTGGCAGTCTGCTGTTTGATGTATATGTTTTCCTTTACTTGTATGTTTTCTTTTGATTTTATCCTTGGAAGGCATGTTTATTCTGATTCATGTATACTTTTGTTTCCTGTGGTTAACTTGTCTGCTTGTATCTTGATATTTTAGATTAATGAGGAGGCCAAGAAGTTCTCTTTCCAAACTGGACTTAGAGTTGTGGTGGCCTATGGAGGAACTCCAATGTATAACCAGGTGATTGATTCTTTCACCCTTTGTTTGTTTCTTTGGGAATGCTGCCTTTTGTTTCGTTTCCTATTTGTGAAGCATATTTAACCGTCTCTAATCTGCTGAATTAAGTTTCATGCATGAATATAAATATATTGGGGGAATTTAATTTGCAAAATTGTGCATGCCACCTTGCTTCAAATACTTCATGCAACGCTGAAAAGTATAGATATAACTTTGATGGATGTTTCTTTTGTGTTTATATACCTTCTCTTTTTGCTCTATCGTTGTGCAATTTCCATCTTACTGTTTTTTATGCTTTCTGTTTTTAGCTCCGTGATCTAGAGAGGGGCGCTGATATTCTTGTTGCTACACCCGGTCGCCTTGTGGACATGGTTGAAAGATCAAAAGTCTCCCTTGAGGCAATCAAGTACCTGGTAATGGATGAAGCCGACAGGATGCTGGATATGGGCTTTGAGCCTCAGATAAGGAAGATTGTTGAAAGAATGAACATGCCAAGGAAGTCTGTGAGACAAACTATGCTTTTCAGTGCAACCTTCCCACCAGAGATTCAGGTAAATGAAAATTTTATTTACTAAGGGAGTTTCATGCAAAGTAGGAATGTAGGATCAAGGGTGGAGTGTCTGCACTGCTTTGTTTTTGTAGGATCAAATCAACTTTTAAGCTTTAAGCGACTTTGCTGCACACAAAAAAAAAACAGATAGAGCTTAGGTTTTGTACTTCACAAATCTTGACATTCTTTATTTTGTGTTGAAATGTTCTATATCTCTGCAATAAATCAATATATGTTTTTCTAGAGAGCTATATACGATCAGTATATCTGAGTTTAGTTTAACTAATGCATTTGACTTTTATCTGCTGTGATACATTTGACTTGTATTCAACTTTCTGAATTTGATCTTGTTTTCAGAGACTGGCTTCGGACTTTTTGTCGAACTACATATTTATCACTGTTGGGAGGGTGGGTTCAAGTACTGACCTAATTATGCAGAAGGTTGAACTCCTCTCTGACGGGGAGAAACGAGGCTACCTGCTTGATCTTTTACAGAGGCAATCTGTCGGTGTGGCTAACAGTAAGGTATGTTAGTTTACTATTGGTGCCCATTGCTTGAAGGTTTACTATTTATTGCTTGAGAACGTCCTTCTGATGTTAGCATGCATGTTCTGTAGCTGCAGCAACCTCTGACATTGGTGTTTGTGGAGACAAAACGAGAGGCCGACTCTCTGAGGTACTGGCTATACAGCAAAGGTTTCCCTGCAACAGCGATCCATGGTGACAGAACACAGCAGGTAAATGCATTTGCCTGGAGTCCTTGGTAACCACCTAACTGTTTCTCTAGCAACACTGCAACAGTATAAGCACGCTAACACTGCAATTATCAAGCAATATTGCACAATTCTAGTTTGGAGTGTCTGCTGTGCTGGCTTTATCTCTGTGGCCTTGACATTTTAGCTAGCAATTTCTACTGGACCACCTGTTTTGAGTTTTAAAGAGTTTTAGCTAGCAATTTCTACTGGACTACCTGTTTTGAGTTTTAAACACTCAGAGCTTTAGATAAGGTCTGATTTTTCGTTAACAGCCTGATTGAGGCATTTCTCCCTGCTTTCATGCATGAACATGACCTCCCACTCTTTGCTAGGTTATTATTTGCCTTATTAATAGCTGAAGGTTCTGAATGGAATATCTCTGCTAATGCTTCAGCTACTTTTTCATATAACTATATTGTTATCTTACTTTGGCTCGATGAACAAATTACAGTTTGCATTTCTATATAGTATGACATTTATCTGTCGTCAGAAAAACAGAGTTGACTTTTTATCACTGCTGCAGATGCTACTTCAGAATTCCTTTCCCAGATTTCTACTAAGATCATATCTGTACTCTTCACCATTTATTTTACCACAACATTCATTTGTTCATGCACCATTTGTAGGAAAGGGAGAGCGCACTGAGATCCTTTAAGACTGGCCTCACTCCTATAATGGTTGCCACTGATGTAGCCTCACGGGGCCTGGATGTCCCAAATGTTGCTCATGTGATCAACTACGATCTTCCCAAGAGCATAGAGGACTACGTCCACAGGATTGGAAGAACTGGCAGAGCTGGGAAGGCTGGGTCAGCCACGGCCTTCTTCACTGAGTCTGACCACTCGCTGGCGAAGGGCTTACTGGAGCTGATGACCGAGGCGAAACAGGATGTTCCTGACTGGCTCGTACAGTATGCAGAGAGGCCGTACTATGGAGGTTCAAGCTACGGTGGAAGAAACCGGAGGTCTGGTGGCGGGGGCAACAGGTTTGCCGGCAGAGATTTCCGCCAGGGCAGTGGCGGCGGCTACTCAGGTGGTGGTGGTGGCGGCGGCTACTCAGGTGGTGGTGGTGGCGGCGGCTACTCAGGTGGTGGTGGTGGCTACTCAGGTGGTGGCCGTGGTGGTGGCTACTCACGCGGTGGCCGTGGTGGCTACTCAGGCGGAGGCGGTGGCGGTGGTGGAGACCCCTACCGAGCAAGTGCTCCACCCCCGCGGTACTACCCTTCGTACCCGATGGGCACGGCCGACATCAACGCCTCTGGCTGGGACTAAGCTGGAGCTCTCGGCGTCGTCCTCACTTCTCAGTGCACATACCGTATATACTACCATGCCTAAAATTACTTAGTAGGGGAACCAAAATGGCGGTGGGCACGCCTGGTCTCTGCTGCTCTTTTACCTTGTTGATCGCCTTGTCTCGTCTGATATACCTATACAACGGTGGTGCACAGAGGTATGTGGCTCTGTTGGGAAGTTGGGGTTTTGGCCAGAATGGTGGTGGTGACATTGTGGTGATCAGGCTTCACTTGTTGCTTAAAACTTGTTACTATGTTATTGTAAGTGGCAGCTGATCGACACTGCTATATTTACCAGTGTTTAAGGAAGAACTTTATATTCCTTATTGATGCTGGATGTTTTTCTTCCTTGTGCGAGTCTTCGGATGGCTCAGGGTGGGATGGAATTTTGTAAAATGCCTTGATTCAAACTTTTGGCATCCCTAACACTCCTACATAATATATCCAATAGTAACTTGCAAGAAAATATAATGATATTAAATTGTGATTTTACTCCTACTTTGAACTGCAATTGTGATTTTGCCCTCGTATTAAAGTATTTGTGATTTTGCCCTCGTTTTTGAAACAAAGCTCAGAGTTACCTCTGTTATGTTAAATGACTTAATGGTGTTAACTATGAGACAAAAAGACATGTATATGCTTACATATTTGGCCCCTTTGTTTTACAGCAGTTGCATATATTTTTACTTATTTCTGTTTATGAACATGAATCAAAAGCGTCCACATCTTTCTCTAGGCATAAATGGGCAGCAACACTAGAGAACACTGTGGAGATGTAATCCTACGCACAGACGAACCAAACCGAATCAAAATCGAGACAATGATAATATAATTAACCAGCACCCGGCGAGATGCAGAGGCCTTGCTCGCGGCCCTGTTCCCGGCATGCTCGCACACGGCCGCTCTCACACTCGCGCGCCCTGCCCGCGCAGGCTGCTCACTGCCTGCCTGATTTGCCTCGCTTGCTCTCCCCGCCATTCGTGACGCGCCTGCTCGTCGCCACCCCCCCCTAACAGCCCAAGAGAAGTCCACCAAAGGAACGGCCCATAAACTATTTGGCCCAGCTTCGTGTCGCCGTCGACTTCCTCGCCCAACGCGGCAACGCCAGCGGAGGAGTCCCAGCGCCGTCGGCTGATCGGTTTCCCCGCAGGAGGCGCCGCGCCACCCCGCCCCGCCCCGCCCCGCCGCCCATGGCTCCAACGCGCGGCGCGCTTGGTCCAACCCCTACGCTTCCTCGCCGCAGCCCCCAGGTATGGCTGCCCTATCCCTTGAACTAGCAGCGGTGGGTGTCGGTTTCTACTCTCGTATAATGGAGGAGTGCCTGTGTGTTGTCCTCGAGATCCGAATCGATGCCCTAGTGCTTTTGCTAGGCTGGTAGCAGCTGTTCATCTCCTCTGGAATCTCCGTGCAATACGGATGACGGATGCCAATCTAAACCCATGTATTGCTGGCTGCGGCTTGCGCAGTTGCGCTGAAGTTGTGCTATATCTCTGACAGCGTTTCTGTTGAACTTTGCACCTGAAAACATTAAGACTTAAGAGTATGAAGGCAAGAGTTGCATAGGCAAAGAAACCATACCATTCTCTATTTGTGAATACCAGTGCAGTAATTTCACAAGCCACTTGTTTTTTTTAAGAAGAAAAACAACTCTACAGGACCAGCACATCTATGGACAAATTACGCATCTTCGATTGATGCTAGAGCACATATTACCTCATATAATTTTAGTTTCTTACAGTACAAGTTACAAATATGCTCCCTCCAGTCAATATTACTTGCCATTTCCGACAAGCAAATTGCACTGAGCGCAGGTCAATTCAGCTGTCCCAAAAGACATGTATTTCCGTCTGGAGGGAGTATTACATTGATGTGCCAAATGGTTCTACATTTTGATGCAGGACAGGTAAGTTGCTATGTAATGATATTTTCTTCATCAACTGATAGAAGCATCTGCGCTACATTCTCCATGGTGGGTCTTTTGCTTCTATCTTCTTCTATGCATGAAACAGCCAACTTGATCATTGTTCTTGCTTGCAAGTAGTTGAACTGGCCATTCAATCTCGAGTCAATGAAGTTAGTGATCCATGACCGTTCGCTATCCTCCTGCAACTTCACATTCTCTGCCAGCATCCTAACATCCCGCCGAAGGACCTTTTCAACCTCATCATCTTCATCCTCAGTTTTTGCCCATTCTGAAACACGACTTCCCTTCAATAATTCTAGAAGGACCACTCCGAAGCTGTAGACATCAACCTTTGCTGTTATTGGGAGACTAGAAACCCACTCAGGAGCTATATAACCTCTAGTTCCATGGATACGTGATACATTTTTATTGGATCCCCCTCTGTTCAGGAGTTTTGCAAGGCCAAAGTCGGTGATCTTTGGCTCCAAGTTATCATCCAACAGTATGTTCTCGGGCTTCACGTCGCAATGGATAACCCACTCTAAGCATTCGTGATGAAGATATGCTAAACCTTTGGCCACCCCAAGAGCAATCTTAAATCTTTGCTTCCATTCAAGTAAGGTCTGGGAGGCCTCACTTCCAAATAACTTCTTGTCCAACGAACCATTCTCCACATATTCGGAAACCAACATCCTGTGTGGACCATCAGAACAGTATCCCCATACCCTCACTAGGTTCATATGGTAAATTTTACTGATCACACTCAACTCATGCTGGAATTCTTCTTCACATTGGCTTATGTCTGCCAACTTTTTCACGGCTACTGCCCTCTCGTCTTTCAAGATTCCCTTGTACACTACACCAGATGCTCCCCTGCCAAGCTCTTCCTTAAATTTTCTAGTAGCTCTCTGCAACTCCTTGTAAGTGTATCTGCGGAAATGGCTTGTTATCATTTCATAGCCGGATTCAGCTGGCCATACTCCTGTTAATTGCCTGCCCTCCATTCTCAAAATAAACCACCATCCTAATGCAATCAAAATTACCTCGATGAGAAATATTGCTGATAAGAATCCGTAGAAGTAGAAAAATCTTGATTCACTTTGACCACTTCTTGAGATATCTGAGAAATTTGCAATGGAATATTGGTTCTCTGCGCTACAATTAGGGCCATATTGACGACCAGAAGGCTGTGAGCGGGGAATGGAGGACTCGCGGACTTTTAAAGCCTCAGGAAGCTTGAGATAGGTTGAACCAGGCAATGATTGGCTTGTTACACCACCAACAAGTGAAGATTTTGGATAGCAGTTACCATTTCCTTGCCAGTATGAGAAACCCTTGCAGCTGCAATCACTCATGCATATGTTCTTGCAAGTACTAAGCGAAACCTGCTGATGTGTACTTTGATCATACCCTAAGAATTCAGTAGTGGGTAGCTTCACAAATCTTATCTTCTGCTTTCTGTCACAGCTGATTGTAAACTTTGGCTTGCATCCTTTACTCAAGTCACTTGGGTCATTGATCTCGTGTCCAGGGGCACATACACATGCAGGCTTAGGTGTATACACGCATATTCCGTTCATGCCGCACAAACCACGTACAAAGCAGAGGTTAGTAAATGCCATCCATGTGACTAGCCAAGTTCCGTCTGTCTTGTTGAGACTGTATAACCTAAGATTACCATCATAATCTAGTGTTAATCTCCTCATAATCCCAGGACCCCAATCAGCAGCCATAAAGCTTGCATTATCACTCCCAAGGAAATGCCCCGAGCTATCAAGAACTCCAAATGTTGTGGTATTAAATGATATTCTTTTCTTTGCCCACATGTTTATGAATGGATTTGGCCAATAGATAAAAGAGATATCCTTCTCGTCATCAAACAATGTAAGCAAATGTTGATCATCAAAATGAAAGCTGTAGTGGCCAGGAACAAGTAATCTATTACTACTAGTACTAGATACCAGTTTTATAGTACCATTAATAATCTGATTGGGTAGCAAAGTATCAGTTGGAGAAGCAAAGCTTTGCCATAGAATTGTATCACCTTGGCCTTTCACGATGAGGTTTCCTCTCTCCAATAACCGAGCCTCTTGGACATTTGAAGAGCTCACATTGTTTGTCCACACAATCTGACCACCGTAGTCTTGTAAAACCATATTTCCGTCGATGTTTAACTTGATCTTGGATCCCCAGGTGTACACAGGACGACCAAGATTTGCACTCCACACAACTGTCTTTTCAGCTGAGTTGGAGAACCAAACTGCGAAGATGGAGGAATTGGGGGAGATGTTGTAGAACCCGCAGGCGAAAGTACCATCTGGTGAGTAGAGCACATCAGAACTGCGCTCTACTGAGAGAGAGGAACCAGGTGAGAGGAAATCACGAGCTGATATCTGCAAAAGAAGATGGATCAAAGTGAGGAGAAACATGAAAGCAGAGTGTGCATCCATGGTTGCCTCCCCTTTCTGAGTTGATCTTTGAAATGATCAGAAATGCATGTTATTGTAGGATCCAACTAGCAACATAGACTCCCTAGGACTATAGGAGGGGAGATGCACCAATACTTATCTTTATTGGCTTCTTCTTCTCATCCTTTCCTTTTTCTTTCTGTCTTTAATTGAGACGGCCCCACCTTCTAGTCAGTCAACGATTCAATGAACAGTGCATTGACTGGTGTCTTTCAATGTTAGGTAAAGCCTCTTGTTTCAGTGATTCAGTCTTTCAGCTAGCTGCTGTATACCACTACTCGTCAAGCAAAGCTGCAGACAGGTCGTTCTAACGACTTGTGGTTCGCCATCCATGCAGGAGAAGAGAAGAAAAGTCATTTACTTCAATTGCCTCTTGACAACGGTATACCACTCAACTTCCTGTACAATTTGTCGGCTACAGTTCAAGAAGGATTGGTAGACGTTGCCGCTTCTCATTGTTGGCTTGTTGCACATGGGCATCCTCGGTAAATTTCAAACCTTGAAAATTCAGCACAACAGTAACAGTTGATGGCCATTCATGAAAATGACAGTAACAGTTGATATGCACTCATATGTGGATGTGTCAGTGTCAATGGCCATAAGGAAATGCGCAGTGAGTTATGGACTTCACATAGTATTAATCTGGCCAGTCATCGGATGTGATTTCTGAAATAGTAATGTTAATATGTTTTTTTTTCATGGAGAAGTGCAAATGTTCTTGTCCAAGCATTTTCTGCACCTTGAATATTAGAGAATCTTTCATCTAGTCCCGTTATTTGCTTATTTACGTACAAAAACAAACTAAGAACAACTTTGTGTATAATTTCGTGATGATCATCCTTTTTTATGCGAATGTTTCACCGTGCAGAAGGTGAGAAGGAAATACTTAATGAGTTGGAGACTTCACATAAGCAATAACGTCAATAGCTTTGTGATGGAGAAGTGTATACTGTAAACCCTCTTGTCCAAGCATTTTCTATACCGTGAATAATCCTCCTCTAATCCCATTATTTGCTTATTTATGTGCATAGAAAGATGCACACAAATTAAGAACCTTATGTGTTCACTTAATTGTCTGGTTATGCTTGATTGCCTGACATAATCAGCGCAAAATTGTGGATCAATAGCACCTCTTTGTAATCCTTTCTTTTTTAAAATATATTTTAACTGTGGGGCTTCCCCTGCAGTATTTCCCCTAAAAAAATCAATACTCCATCAAAAGAGAGAAATACTTTTATCACGGGGTTCTGCTATAAGATTCAGTTGTATAACGTATGTACAACTAAAGACATGCAACCATATATCAATCAAAGGACAATATGTTCATATGCATTGCAGCCATTTACAACTATTGATCAAATTTAGTCGTACGTGACGTGAGTCGGATAGTTGGGATGCATAGCATTTCTAGAGAAAAAAAACTCATCTTGCACGTAACAAAATAAGAAGTGTATATATATGCATGCAATCAATAAGTATTAAGATGACTCATCAGGTTCCGATCAAATATTTAATTTATCTCTTTATTTAAGTTCTAGATACATGAAAACTACAAATATATGATTAACTTATTTGGAGAAACCAAAATATGAAATAAATTTAATATTTTTGAGAGGAACCCATGGAGTCTGTACTGCAATACGATTTGGAAACCTGCACTGTAAAATGAAATGGAACTGTTTCTCCTCAATTGAACAGTTGAAATGAAATGGCTCGGTAACCTAGCCAAGTGCAGTTTTTTTTAAAAAGAAAAATGGGGCAGTAACCCTTCTTCCCGGTAAAGGTAAAACCCGGTTCCAACCAACCTTGAATCTTAGAGGAATTCTCTTGTAGCCAATTAATCACTGACGTCTCTCACTGACACTTTGGAAGTAAGCTGATGTGCTATGAGAGTGTGAGCTAGGAAAACTAATGTCTGGCTTTTCCCAGCGTCACCGCATCAGATCCACATATGACATCTGCAGACCCAAAGTCAAACAATTTCTTTTTTCAATTGAAATGTGACTGCTCTTTTGTTGCATCCTTCAAGTTTTCAATTAATTGTTTGGAGTGCGATGCTGTGACCACCCGTCCTTGTTTGACCGGCAAGGTGTCCCTGAATGTATTGACACCTATACGAGAGTATTGCTCAGGAGTTTAATATAATGATGAAATCTATAACATTTATATGTACATTACTCCTTTCATTTCATTTTAAGTGCAACCATACGTTTCCGCGTCCAATTTTAATCGTCTGTCTTATTTGAAAATTTTTTTAAAAAAATTAAAAACATAAGTCACGAGTAAAGTACTATTTATGTTTTATCATCTCATAGCAACAAAAATATTAATTATAAAAAATTTTCAAATAAGAAGGATGATCAAGGTTGAGCACAGAACTCATGGTTGTACTTGAAATGAGACGGAGGGAGTACATCTCTAATCATCATACAACTACTAGTTCTCCCGTTCCGTATTATAAGTCATTTTGAATTTTTTACTTTAGCTTTATATAAAAATATAACAATATTTAAAAAACAAACATATTATCAAATATATTAAATGCTAATTTTAATGAAACTAATTTGATGTTGTAGATATTGGTACAACTTTGTGTGTACAGAAAGATGGTAGTAAGAACAACTTTGTGTAAGCACTTAAGTTCTGTTTGATGATGCTTGATTTCCTGACACAATCAGGGCAAAATTATGGATCAATATCACCGCTTGTCACTGTGTCACTGCTCCACTGTCTGACATGCTTCCTCGAGTTATTTTGTACTACCTCCGTCCGAAAATAAATATAGCCATGGGTTTTCGCGCTTAACTTTGATCGTCCGTCTTATTTAATTTTTTTATATATAATTAGCATTTTTGTTGCTATGAGATGATAAAGCATGAATAGTACTTTACTCGTGACTTATGTTTTTAATTTTTTTCAAAAAATTTTCAAATAAGATGAACGGTCAAAGTTGGGCGCGGAAAACCATGGTTGCACTTACTTTGGGACGGATGAATAGTACTACTCCCCTCGTCCCATAAAATATCCAACTTCGTAGCTAGAAATTGATTTATAAGTCACCTATAAACTACGTCCAACTTCATAGTTAGAAATTGATTTTTTTTTTATAAGACAGGTTAGGTGTCAATAGGAAGCCATGAAAGTCTGTGCTGCAAAAATATTTTTTGTTTTGGGAACATGTACTGGAAATGAAAGGGAACTGTTCCTCAATACGAACAGTTAGCTATGCGGTGTTTTCTTTTCAAACTTGAGTATAGAAGAATTTTCTTTGTGCCAATTAATCGCTGTCCTCTGCCACTTTCTGAAGTAAAAGATAATGTGCTGTGCTCTAGGAAAAAAATATCTGATTTTTCCCTGCATGAGATCCACATATATGATGTCCAGAAGTCAAACAAAAAATATCAATTGAAACGTGATTACTTGTTGTTACAGCCTTGAAGTTGAACTCAACTTATCATGTTTTAATTTTCTTGAAGCTCGTTTCAATTTTCTTTTTCTTGAAGTTGAAGTTATAGGAAGACTTATTTAGTCATGTTTTGATTGTTATTAAGTGTGCGATATATGATCACCAGTTTTTCTTTGCCCCGCACGATTACGTTGAACCGTGGAGTTGGAGTAATGAGTTAACACATTCAGGGACACCTATACTAGCGTTTTGTTCCGGTTAATATAATGATGATATATGTGTGATATTTATATGTATATAAAATCTATATCTCTAGCCATCTATAATTCTATACCACAAAATTTACTAATACTGTATTTTTTTTTGGAATAGACAAGTGAAAGAAACTAAGGAGCCAGGGCAATTTTTATTATCATGCTTATCTTTATCTATTATAAGAGTTTAAGATGTTTTTGCCATGGCTTCGTACGTCGTCGCCTGTGTCCGATTCGATCACGCATGAAGCAGCATGATGCCCACGTAAAAGCCTTAATCCGTGATCCATCGTCGTCGGACACTAAGTGCACGATTTTGGTCCATGGCCACCATGCATGTATGGCACAACAAAAAGTAGTAGAACCAGACACGGAATGACACGTCCTCCTGACTGTAGAATCTAAAACCCAACCCGTTACAACTGAAGGCCACCCAAAGCAATCGTTTTTTTTATTGTGAACTCACTAAACAAGAGATTGGTAATAGGATTACAACGTATACATAAGGACTCTTCGTTTTTGTTTTTGTTCGTACCCTTAAGCTTCGATCATGGCACAAGGAGTCTCATTGATTGCCTTAGTAAGAAAATTCTGAATTTTTAGAATTGATTGCCTTAATAAGAAAATTTTGATTTTTAAATTTTAATTTTGAAGTTGTTCTTAATATATTTTCAACGTTGTTTGCTAAATCTATATCTATACCTATATACCTATTTAAAAAATAAGTAAGGCTTCTCGTAATATTTTTGGTCCATTTTTTTCGCTGTTTTCTTTTTCTATCCCGCTTTGATTTTTTTTCCGGTGTTTCCCACAACCCTTTTTTTGGATCTCATCCAATTTTTCCACACGCGTGCTACGCACTATATTTTTTTGTCACTTTGTATATTGCCCGATCCACCACCTTGATACGTTTCCTGCTTCAATTGATTAAAAAATCGATTCCCTACCTCTTTTGATTTGGCTTTAATTTTCCCGGATTTAATCTCCAGCCGCCGCCTAGGCCGACCCCTAACGCCGCCGCCACATCGATCTACCTCCCCATACGTTTTCTCTTTCCGTTGATTGCAAAAATCGATTCCCCACTCCTCTCTCATTGTTTCCTCCATGATTTCCCCTTTCAATTTGGCTTTACTTCGCCGGATTTAATCTTCGTTTAATGGTCAGCAATGATGACCGACCGACGAGCTTCCCCAATCCCTTTTTGTCCCGAGTTTTGCGGATTTGCTCCGATTTGGAGCAAACGAAAAGAGGAGATCGAGTGGATCAAAAGCTCTCAACCAATGTTGGGAGATAAAAAAAAGACCCAACTAGATTTTAATGGGGAGGATCGGCCCCGTCATCGTACGGGGGAGATCGAGTGAATCAAAAGCTCTGAACCAATGTTGGGAGACCAAAAAAGACTCGACTGGATTTTTGATGGGAGGATCGGATCCGTCATCGTACGGGGCACAAAAGGATTTTTCTTCCGAAGGTTTAAGACGCTGCTAAATGGGGCGGTTGTGCTAGCTGGGTCTAAGGTTCCACTTGTGGACCGAACCGGACGGAAGAGAGACAGTCCGAGCGGAGAGAGGTAGGAGACATCAGACCGTGCTTGGGGTGAAAAGGAAAAAAAAAGTAATGGGCTTTTGGCTCAAAACCAAGAAATTTTTTTTATTAACCTTTTCAATTATAGTGTAAAGCAATCATGATGTTTCAAATTATTGATCATTTCATAATAGATGTTGTATCACTAGGAAAATGTATTTACCCGTTGCAACGCACGAGCATTTTTTTAGCAGAGAATATATAAGAAAATTATGACGTACGAAAACAAGGAGATGTAGAAAAGTTTTTATAACACAACCGAGCAAGACAGAACGTACATCAATGATTAAACTGATTCTAATTTGGTACTGTTGTCCAAATGAAGTTTATCACGCCTCAGGGGCAACCTGGAAAAAAATGTCAAATTCTTTTAGATAAGCTATTAGTTATATAAATAAATTACGAAGAGGACACTACAAGTCTCGATTTTGCATATGTACGGCAGGCGAGCGCTGCAGCGTGTGTGCGACATTATTGATGCCGGCTGCGGCTGCAGTAGACCTAGCAGCCAAACATGCCGTTCAAGTTTTTCATGGTTGTCGCTTGCGCGATCCCTGTAGAGGATCCTTGTAATGAGATTTTGGTTCAGTGCATGTGATCTTCTGTGTTTTGCTACTCCTTCGTTCTCAGTATCCAAATTTAAATTTTCAAACTTAACTTGTAAGTTGATTTTAATATATTTCCAATGTAGCATTTTTTTTAATATTGAGTTTTAAGTCGCTACGAATACATATATAAAAATTTCACCTATAAATTAATTTTATTTTCTAATAAATCGTTTTAGCTTACGAAGAAATATGGGCAAACGCTCAGGAGTCAGGACCTCAGTCCATCAGAAAGTAGCCAAGTTGGGCCAGACTACACCCAACCCAATTGCTCTCTAATATCCTGGTCGACAATGGGCCCAACGACCCCGCCCAGCTACGACTGGGCCTGCACAGTCCGTCTCCGACCCGCGTGGCCTCTCCCGAGCCAGAGTTGCAACCGCACCGCTTCCGAGTTCCGACCGAGCCGGACTCGAACTCGAACCCGACCCGTACCCCCCTTGTATTCTTCCTCCCCCAATATAAGCGGCCACCACCCGATAGGGCTTCTTCCCCAATCTCGCTGCCGCCGCCGGATTTGCTCCCCCTCGCGATTCCTCTTGCGCCGCCGCCGGATTCGCTCCCCTCGCGTGCTCGTCGCCGTTGCGCTGCGCCGGGTTGTGGTTGTTCTTGGCGGCTAGGTCGTGGGGTTTTCTTGTTTCGGAGGTAGGGAGAGGTTTCGTTAGGGTTTCGGGCGGGGATGGAGGAGGTGACGGAGGCGGTGAGCAACCTGTCCATCACGGAGCCGCACAAGAAGAACCGGATCCAGGTCTCCAACACCAAGAAGCCGCTCTTCTTCTACGTCAACCTCGCCAAGGTCAGGATTCCTCCCCCTGTTCCTTGTTGCTGTTCGATTTTTTTTTTTTGTTACCGGATTTTGTGTGGCGGTTTGTGATGAGGCAATAGCGAGTGGATGCTGCTGCTGTTTCGTCGATTTGATTTGACCGATTCTTGTTTGTCCCCTTATCCCGCCTAACAAAGAAGATCCTTTTTGGTGCTTCGATCCGTCGGGGGGTTTTTCGTCTAAAACCCTAAAAAGCTGCCCTTTGATCGATCTATTTCTATTTTAATCTTCAAAGACCTAGCTTTTGAATCAAGTGTCGATTTTGTTTTCTTGTTCGTGATTTGCTTTTATGAATGTATTGGTAAAGCAAATGTTTGTGTCGCATTACAATAAATGTCTACGATACTTTGGAGTTGGAGCTAATGTTGTTTTTCTGATGATTGCAGAGATACATGCAGCAGCATAATGAGGTGGAGCTCTCGGCGCTCGGCATGGGTAAGCACTTTCGCCCTTAGTTATTAATCCTTTCGGAGTATATATGCATCTGTTGTATTGATAGTTGCAATCTGTAGTTGTTGTCAAATTGATGCGATGGATCTGTTATGCAAGGAATAAACTTACAACTGTTTATATGCCTACTCTAGTGTCAATGTTTGGTGACAGAATAGCCATTATATAATTTTGATTTGCAATTCATGTCAAATGCCCCATCTCACGATCATTTATTGATTCCTTGTGCAACTTCTTTATGAAAGGTCAGCAGTGGAATGTACAACTAATATGCGTGTATTGACTAATGACCATAGACATGGCTTCACAATCATCAATTTCCTGTGTAACTTGGCAATTGGCATTGTATTTTCTGCTGTTGTTTCATTCTAGTCATCCATCTGAATTTTAGTGGATTTTCTACCATGATTGAGTTTTTTATTTCATTTTGTATGTTAAAATCTGCTGATGTTTCTTCTAGCTGCCACTGCTCATGCTTGTCGTTATGATGTTTTCAAACAGCTAAACCTCTTATTTATTATTTCAGCCATTGCCACTGTGGTGACTGTTGCGGAAATTCTAAAAAATAATGGCCTTGCTGTTGAAAAGAGTAAGTTCATGCTGCCTTATTATCCTGTTGGTCGACGCCGGAATCCTTTTGTACTAAGAAGTCAATGTCTCTTAACTACTCGATCAAATTCTTGCAGAGATCATGACATCAACTGTTGATGTCAAAGACGACTCAAGGAGCCGTCCTATGCAGAAGGCGAAGGTTCGTTTATTTTCCTCTATTCCATGCCTGTTTCATTACCAGGACAACGATTTCCTTATTCTGATCCTGTTGCGATGTCCAGATTGAAATTTTGCTTGGGAAGACGGAGAAGTTTGATGAGCTGATGGCAGCTGCTGCCGAGGAGAGGGAAGCCGCGGCTGCTGCTGAGGGCGAGGAACAAGGCTAGCTAAATAAACTATTTTAAGTTGGCTGTTGAGTTTAATTTAGTACTCCTGCTAGGTTTAAGTTTCCGTTTATTGTGGTCAGCAAGAGACTTATCTTGTGTAATCAAAAAGCTCTGCTTATTTGATTCGTTTGAATGATAGTTCATGGTGCCTATTTTTGTTATTTTTTGTGTATTGCAATGTTGTTGTGCTTAAAGCTTTTAGCTTCTCGGTTTTCTCTTTAAAAGATGAAAATAATCCTTCCCAGATAAACCCAAGAAAGAGTGTAGTTTTTCTGAAGACAAAAACAGGTTGCTCTGATGGAGCAGGGGAAGCATATAAAAGACCGAACAAAATCGTGACAAAACTCAAAACTGTTGATTAGCAGCAGGTTTATGTTTCAGTTAAATATGGCCGACAAGAGACATACATTGTGAGGCTCTGCCAATTTGATCCGTTTGAATGGTAGTTCATGGCATATTAATAATTCTTGGTTATTTCTCTTGAATTCTGTATCGTATGTTCTAGTCATGCCCGTGCAATGTGATACGAAAATATTCTTGACACGACGACATTAATACGCATATAATCTAGAACAAAATCACGACAAAACTGCTTCCGCTCAGGATGACATTGTTGTTCATAGATTTGAACTCGAGCACAAAAGAAGCCAAATAATCCTTTGACATGAAGCCAAAGCCAAAACTTTGATCTAACAGATATCTCAAATATCTTAGTCCTAAACTTTTGATTGTTAATCATCCAACTTGCATTTCTCAACGAAAGAAAAAGAACTAGGGGACTCATCTTCCTTCAAGAGCACATGCTTCACTCACTATCCTGATCATCTTCAACCAGTATCTTCTTGCAAGCTTCATAGCACATGAATGAGATTCCAGCCGCAGGCATCAGCTTGATGCAGCTCGGCCCAAGCCCCTTGTAAAGGCCGCCAATCCCTTCATTCTCCATTATGCAATACAGAGCATGGAAGACATTCTTGTAGACCTGCCTGCCGCCTACCGCTCCGACCTGCATTTGCTTGCGAGCTACCTCGAGAGGGAAGGTGGCGGTGCTCGAGATGGCACCCGCGGCTGAACCGATGAGAAGAGTCGCGATGTTGCTGATCTCCTCCTGCTTGAATGTCTTCCTGTAGAGCTTCTTCAGGGTGTCGTAGGCATAGTAATTGGTTGCAGCGTATGGCACCACGCCGATCAGACTCGGTGTCAGCCCGCGGTAGAGCTCTGAGGGGCCTTCCTCTCGTAGTATCTTGACGAAAGCATGGAGGAAGTTGTTATAGACATCTTTCTGCAGAAAAAAGTAGGGTTAGGTGGGTGTACACAGAGAAATGCACTTGTGTAAGTTAACGGAGTTTTATTCACCTCAATAGTCAATCGGGTCTTGATCAATTCCAAGGGGTATGTGCACAATGTTGAGCTAACCCCAGCAAGTGCTCCAGCAATAAGCGATGGAGGGAAGGGTGTCTTAGGGGACTCATCAGCCTTTGGAGTTAAGAATTTCTTGGCTGTATCGAAAGCAAATAGCTGCATTTGGGCAAAAGACAAAAATCAGTTGAATTAAGGTATTGCTATGTCTTAATAGGTGAATCAAAGAGAGACTGATTAGTTGCTACGAATCCTAGGTACTTCTGACATCCTAAAATTCATAAGAAAAAAGTGGTCACATAATCTCAGTCAAAGTCAAGTGTAACAAGTATCCATCCACCGCCTCATAAAACCAAAATAAATGTCTTTAGCAATGTAAGACCATGGAAGTGAAGATTAACAAAAGCAAAACTGTTTTTCACAAGTTTATTTTGGACGCACTAAGTCAGCATTTCCCAGAAGTTAAACATCTTACTATTCATGTTTTGGCATATAGCCAGTGCCTAACAAAGCATACACTTAAATAAAGCGAGTGAGCTCAAAATATCAGAATGAAACAATAAAAAATATAAGAAAGCTACATAGTCCATACTTTGACTTGCTTAAAGTCTCGAGATCACTACACATATAGATGTTTGTAGTCATGAAGATTAGAGTCAACCATGAAAAAATGGAGAACATTAAAATACCATTGTGGTGAACCCAGACTCCTTTGTTAGAAGTGTATTTCCTAGTTGCATACCTACTTTATTGATAGAAGGCTGATTGTCATATAAAATTGACTACAGTGTGGCATTGCCTTATTATTGAGAATAGCGGAAATATTATTGAGAATAGCGGAAAATCCATTTTCCATAGGGTGTTTTACTGCTTTTGATAGGCCATCCACAAAATTGAAGTGGTTATAAGTTAGTAGTTAATACAAATTGTCTTTTCCTAAGCATCCATCTAACATTAGCATCTCAATGGAAGGTCAAAAAAAAACTATAGTTTGCTCAAAATTTAAAAGGACGTCTGGCTCACATAAGCCAACACCAGTTACAACTTGGATCCAATACAACTAATATACATTAGTTACATCTTTGTTCAAACAAAAAATGTATTAGTTCTTATAATAAAGTTAGGCAATAGGACTTTGGACTTTGTAAAGGATCAACATAAGCCAACATTTATAACTTACCTCAATAGCCTTGCTTGGTGCAACTCGGATGACATTGACAAAGTTCCCACGGAACAGCCCTGTCCACCCCTCGGTCTTCATGATTGACTGGAATACCTCTGTCATAGAGTCCCCATTGCTCCCAACCATCAAATGGGTCCTAATCGTCTCCAGAGGTGCCACACAAGTCCTCGAGACAGCTCCCGCAACGGCTCCGCTAACCAGCCGCCTCAAATGTGGGTTCCCAATCTTAATTTTCAGCTTCAGCCCACGTTTCTTGGCTTTCTTCACAGCCTTGCCATCCACCACCTCTTCCTCATTGACAGATTCAGCCTCAGTCCCAGGAACTTGGTACCCCACTGCTGAGGAGACATACTTTATGCAATGATCAGCGAACGGAATCTTGAAGTCATGCTCGGCAGGACTGGGTGCCACTGCTGGTGCAGCTGTGGACACTTTGAGACCGACGCTAGCAAACAGCCCACCATGAGGGGAGGCAGAGCCATGTAAGCTCAAAGAGAAGCCCTTGTCTTCATGCAAATCCCAAGGGAACCGGAGCTCCGGAAGTTGTGGGACAGACCAGCCCTGCTTCTTCTCCAATGTCAGCACGCTGTTCTTGCTCTTGGCCGACATCGCCACCATCGTCGCTGCCATCTCCTGGAAAATGTTTTTGCCTCAATCTACAGCACACAGTGAAGGCGGGCGACTGCACTGCATTGACAGCCACAACAAGAACCGCATTCTCAGCCACCAATCCCAAAAGTTGGAAACGAAGAAGAATACATCAAGTGCCCTACCATCTCCACTACCACAATTCTAGCACAATGGAATCACAACTTTATGGACCAATTAAACATTTTCACTACTTGACCATAAACATGGGGCAGATTCAGTGAACCTACCCGCCCTCTCCAGAAATCGCTATGTATTACAAAAGGCAAAATCTAAAGTTACTTTGAAGCATACATCAAGCAAGGAAGAAACAAAGAATCTAGGTAAGCAATTAGCAATGGCAAACTGTAATAAAGTCCAAAGAACCCTTCAAGGCATGGGCAGACCTAACATGGGGGCATGGGGTTGAGATAAACCTAGAAAAAAGAAGAGTTTATTTTCTTTTCTTTTTTTTCACTGGAAACAAGCTGCTATACTACAGCACCACACAGGAAAATAAGATTAATCAGAGGAGACGAAACCAATCCCAATCCGGATGAATCTCCAATCTACGCCGCACGAGGTGCCGCTTAGGAGGAGACCAGGAGGGATGCTACTGCTACGAAGCGGGGGCGGTGGGAAGGAGGAGGGGATACTAGCTACGAGGTGGAAGAGGGACACTGAGTAGCGGAGAAGGAATACCTTAAAAAACCCGAGGTGGCGGAACGAGGCTGGCTGGCTGGCTGGGCCGGCCGACCTCGCCGCCTCTCCGAACTTTGCTCGCCGGCCGTGCCGTGCCGCGCCGCGCCGCGCCCGCGCGCGAGGGAGCGGAGAAGGCTAGGACGGAGGAAGAGGAGGCCGTCCACGCACCCTCCGGGCTCGCTCGCTCGGCGGCGGCGGCGCGCGCGAGGAGGCGAGGAGGAGGGCGCGGCGGCGGCTCCGGCAGAAGAAGCAGAGGGGCGATAGAAGGAGGCGGCTGTGGAGGGTGGAAAAAGGGAAAAAGAGGATATGAAAGGGGGAAGAAAATGAAGGGTGGGGTGTGTGGGTTTGGAATTGTTTGGACTCAAAATATTTCCTTCTCTTCTTTTTTTTTATATCTTTTTATGTTGCCGTCGTTTTTTGTCTGTTGACTGTTTTTTCTTCCGGAATTGCTGTATATCTGTCGACAGATTTTTGGTTAAAAATCTGTCGATTTCTTCACCGTATGATTTACTTTGAGATTTGTGCGCGTGCCTTCGAGTGAAAAAAAAATGCCGCTAGAGCATGGAATCGACCACATGATGTCAGGATAACATGACGTGCATCGTACCAACTGTGCAAGAAGCGACTGATTACTTTGCTGCTATACCTAACGTTTTTAAAACTTTCACCGCAGTTTCATAGTTAAGTACACTACATTTACAGTGTAATTTTTAATAGATGCAGGTGTAATTTTTGTTTTACATGGATGGTAATTTTTTTACTCATGGTTGTTTTGTTGTACTGTAGTTAACCTAATTGTTTGAGGTGTGATTTGATATTTTCGGACTATATATATGCCGTCATATTTTTCATAAAAAAAATAATCGGCATGTATTTACATCGTAAATCTTCAAAATTATATATGTAATTTTAATATATTTACGCTGTAAGTTTTAAAATTACATATGTAATTTTAATATATTTATAGCGTAAGTTTCAAAATTACATATGTAACCCCAAAAAATTACATGCGTAAGTTGATGTAAGTTGCTTATTTTTCCTTTTCTTTTTAGCAGCATCACTGACGTGATTAATGTCCAGTGACTGACGTACATTGATACGTTTTCATTTGAGCAGCACATGGTGATGGCTTGAAAATTCGACTGATTTTCTAAAGAAAATCTGTCGAATGATTGTTAGACAGTCCCTTTTTCTTCTCTTTTGTTTGGACCGATTTTTGATGGTTTTGGATTGCTTCAAGATTCGTGTAGCGACTGTAACCTACTTCCTCCGTATTAGAATATAAGGCTAGGATTGGATGTGACATTTTTCAATACTACGAATTTGGACAGAGAGTTCCTAATTTTACGAATCTGAATAAGGAGCATGTCTGGATTCATAGTATTATATTGTTTCTATATGGAGTCTATCCAGATTCGAAGTACTGAGCTTGTTTAAATTTGTAGTACTAAGAAATATTCCATCTAATCGTAGGTACGATGGTAATAACTCTTTGCTGTCAGATAGCAAGGCAACACAGGAGCAACGGCATAGGCGAGCCACAAGGATTGAGATAGTCTGCAATTAAATGCGCGGTACCTATGTCACTGATATATGGGTCTAGTGGTCATTAGGTCCACATGTCAGTGATAAAGTCACGTGACTTCAACTGCAGAGGATCCTGATATGAGCCGTAGGGGTGTACATTGGGCATTAGACAGACACGGATAACCAGGTTTTTTTTTTCCTCTCTCTCCGTTTTTTGTTTTTCTTTTTTACGTTGGTTAGTTGAGGTGAAAAATAGATTCACGTTATATCGAGTACCCCGCATGTAAGTTACAATGGCACTCGACCTAAAGAGATACATAAAGTTTCTGGATATTTATATTTTAGCCTTTTTTAAAAATAGTTTACAAATAGACCCTAGAAAAATTTATTCTAAGAATGCAATCTTTTTCTCAGATCAGGGTCAAGGCGACGAGGTTTAATGTCTCAGCGACAAAGACACTGACGCTAATACCCTTGTCCTCTATGGTAGCTACGGGCATGTTTGGATCCTGGGCAAGTGTCATCCTAGCCTCGCCAAGCAAAGCTACGCGTTTGCAACCGGTAAAATAATCTGGCTTTGTGGGGTAAGAAAAATCTAGCTAGCCAAGGAGAGCCAAATCGGCTCTCCTTTGATGGCAAACTCTGCTTGCGCGAAAATGTTAGAACGAGGGCAACACATACTTCTCCAAAATTAGCGATTTTTTCAATGACTCGCACAATCTTACCAGCCTCTTCTTCCATTTCTTTGTTGCGAACTCTCGCTTAGGCTTTGTTGAAAATTGTTCTCTCCATCAACTCATAAATACAGCGAACAATCAGTCTGGATCTAAAAGGAAAAATGATTCACGGAAGAACTCAGCAACAATAATTCATCTGCATCAGCTAGCCACTAATACTTATACATGAAGCAAAACCATCCAAACATAGAAGCCACTGCAAGGTTAGCAAGCTGGCAAAGAGATGGTTTAGTGCTGCCGAGCTTGGCTAGCTGGGCTAGAGAGCCAAACACACATTAAGTCGCTGAGGTGAAGGGGATCGACTAGTACCGAGAACCTATTTATAAAATAATTTCCAAAAGAACAAAACAAACATATTTTTCTTTACAAATAGGTCATCGGTAGCTTTTTGGCGCTGAGTATTTACATTTAACCATTTTAAAAAATATTTTATAAATAGGTCCTCAACGCTAGTTTCTTTGGCGCCAACCCCTCTACATCTCGGTTGCTAGGGAGTGAGGGTGTCAGTGCTAGCGTCGTTCACACCGAGACGTTGGACCTCGGTGTAAGGTTACTAGCATTAAGAAAAAGGTCTATCTATGGAATAAGTTTTTTAGGATCTACTTGTAAAATAAGTTTTTAAAAGGAGCAAAAATATAAAAAGTCTACCTGAAAGTTCTACTATAGATAGGCTCAAATCTATCATAAAATGACCTAAACCTTCCTAAAGTCGGTTTTCAGATAAGAAGTACAGTAATGTTTTCTATATATGAAGAAGCCACAGCAATGTGTGGGCTTATCACCGGTTATTCTTATATTTCTCTTCTGCAACTCCCTTCCATTTGTACCCATGGAGAAAACTTTAAATATTTCATGCCAAGAGAGTTAGGGAGAGTTTGGATGGGAGGGACTAATTTTAGTCCGTATATGTTTAGGCGCTAGTTAGGAGTATTAAACATAGACTAATAATAAAGCTAATTGCATAAATGAGAGCTAATTCGTGAATTTTTAAGCCTAATTAATCCATAATTAGCACATGTTTACTGTAGCATCACATAGGCTAATCATGAATTAATTAGGCTTAATAGATTTGTCTCGCGAATTAGTCCAAGGTTATGGAATGGGTTTTGTCATTAGTCTATGTTTAATATTTCTAATTAGTGTTCCAACTTCTGATGTGATAGAGACTAAAATTAGTCCCGTTATTGCATCCAAACACCACCTTACACTTCCGCTTCTAAATATAAAATGTTTACTTTTTATATTTGGGATAGAGGTAGTGCAGTTTTAACTGACTTTATCTGTTAATCATTTGTTAAAGGCCATAACAACTGCCAGATATGATTTTGATCTACGCTTGTCGGTGATATGGGCCCGGGGGTATCACGTCTAGAGGGAGGAGGCTGTCCTCAAACCCACGTGGCTCCCCGCGAGGGGGGATCAAGCCCGGGGTGGAGCGGTGGCTACCCCCACCCAGCTAGAGGGAGGAGGCCGCCCTCAAACCCACGTGGCTCTCCCCGAGGGGGGTCGAGCCCGAGGTGTTGTGGCGGCTGCCCCCTCCCAGCTTGGGGTCGGGCCATCCCCAAACCCACGTGGCTCCCCACGAGGGGGGATCAAGCCCGGGGTGGAGCGGTGGCTACCCCCTCCCAGCTAGAGGGAGGAGGCCGCCCTCAAACCCACATGGCTCTCCCCGAGGGGGGTCGAGCCCGGGGGTTGCGGCGGCTGGGTGGGGGTGGCGACTGGGTCATGGTGAACCTCTTCCCCATGGCCCTCAGGGGCCAAGCGCGGGGTTGGCCCATGAACCTGCTGCCGCATCGGTTCACTCCTGGGAGGACTCTTGCAGTTTTGAGCTCCGGGTGCCGTCGAAGCCCGGGACCCCCTCTGCTGGCTCTTCTGTAGCGGCTGGCTTTGGTCCCGCCGGCTGGCTACGGTGCCCGGCCCGGCTCAACTGATCGTCCTTTCAAGTTTCAAATATTTTCAATTTTTCAATTCATTAGCTTAAAATCTTATATTTAATTTCCCCCCATTCTATTCTCATGGCCCTGCGACGCTCGCGTGTTGCGCATTTGTTTGGCCCCTCGGTGGTAAGAGCCCAACCTCTCTCCCATCTACATGAACGATTCTTCGCTAAGTGTGGGGGCTAAGTCTTCTAGCCTTATCCTAGCCTTTAGTTGAGCTCCGGGTGCCGTCGAAGCCCGGGACCCCCTGTGCTGGCTCTTCCGTAGCGGCTGGCTTTGGACCCGCCGGCTGACTACGGTGCCCGGTCCGGCTCAACTGTGGACGGGGATTGCTGGCTCTAGAATTTTTCGGCTCCCACACTCGTGCGAAAGTAATCGTCCATGAAGAAGGAAGAGAGATTGGAAGGAAGCCACCGAAAGGAAAGAGCGAACAAAATGTGTAGCGTTGGGGCGCAGGTTCATGGGAGCTTGACCTCGTTTGTTAAGTGGTCGCAGGCTTCCCTAAAGGGTTCGAAGCCCAGGGTGGGGAGCCCTCTTCGAGCCAAAGGTTTGAAAGCTCGCGACGTGTAAACAAGGATAAACAAAGGTAACAAAGGAGGTGTTACAATACCCGGACCAAAGCAGACCTCTATGGGAAAGCTCAGCGTTGGCCGGGGACTCTTTTTGAGCATAGCATTTGTAATACTTCCTTTAAGTATATATCTTCTTTATTCATGCTTATCAGCAAAATTATCATGGCTTATATTTATCTCTCACCCATCTCTTCCTCGCGGTCCCACGATTCCCACGTGTCGCACGCTCGTTTGCCCCCCTTGGTAACAAAAAGTTTGTATTCACTTCACCCATTCAAATGATTCTTTGCTAAAAGTGTGGGGGCTACGATTCCTAGCTCTATCCTAGCCCTGCGTCGAGCTTTGGACGCCGTCGACGCCCGGGGCCCCCTGTGCTGGCTCTCCCGTAGCAGTTGGCTTTGGCCCCGCCGACTGGCTATGGCACACAGCTTGGCTTGATTGCAGGTGAGGATTGCTGGCTATGGAAAGTTCAGTCCTCACACTCACGCGAAAATAATCGTTTGAATAGATGAAGTAGAACATGAACAGAGGTTAACAAAAGGCAGGAGCAA